TTAGGGATGAGTCCCAGCGCGATCCCCTAGCTCTGCCCCCCACCCCTGAATACCAGGAAATATGAGGGGCTGAGCTCTGAGCCTCCCTATGGCCACACGCTGTCTCCTAGGCCGTGTCCAAGCAAAGGCAGTTCTGGGGGGGGGTCAGTCTGTCCCACTGGGGCTATGATCCGGGTTCAAAGCCCTTTGCAGGCATCAGGGGATTTGCTCCCAGCGCCCTGGGGCATTAGCGCCCATCCCCATATCACAGAGCAAGGAGCAGGGAATGAGGGGAAAGGGCAAAGTCAGCCAAAGGGCCTCCCCCTGGGGCCTCAGCTGGGGAAGCCTTGGGCTGGGTTTTCAGTGCTGTTGGGGCAGCGGGACACTGAGGTACCAGCCTCATTGTCCACCCCCACTGCGGGTCCCAGCTATACATCCCCTTCCCCCCAGGTCCAAGCCCCACCAGATCCCTTCCACCCGCACCCTGCAGCCTTACCGCAACTCTGCCCCCTGGATCCCAGCTCCACCAGACCCCTCATTTGGGGTTGCACCCACAGTACCCACAGCCTTACTCCCCTCACCTGCCCCCGTAACACCTGAATCCACTCACCTGTCTCTGGGCATTCAGCACCTGCAGCCCCTTGCTGTAGTATATGCAATTATTGCGGTCGTTGTAGGTCTTTACGGCTACTTGTGCCGCCTGCTGGACTTCTGGGTCTGACACTGGCACATTGTTCAGCCCCCCAGGAATAGAGGCCCCCAGAGTGAGGGGAACCCCCAGGAGGAGCAGCAAGCAAAGCCAGGGACCTGCCACTGCTGCAGGGAACGCCATGGCTGAGAGTGGCCAGAGCTGGGGATGGGGTGCTAAGATATAGGCAGGGGGCCCCACCCCCTGGGATGGCCCCACCCACATGGGGAGGAGCCATGCTCCTGATGGCCGCACCCAGAGGAGGTAGAAAAATATCACCCTACATTACATAAGACCCAAGTATAGATGGGAAATAAACCCTCAGGGCTTGATTCAGCCAGGGGAAAAGGGCCTTTATGGGACAGGCCATCCCAGAATTCCCCATTACATGGGGCATTTCTTGCACCTTCCTCTGAAGCAACTGGCAATGGCCACTGTCACAGACGCGATGCTAGGCTAGATGGGCCCATTGTTCTAAATGGGTGTGGCCAGTACTGGGAGAGCCCTGCCCCCAGTAGAAAGCCCCACGTACAGCAGCTGGAGAAACATCCCCTCACAGGGAGCCCTGCTAGCTGCCGGATGGAGCCCTGCCCCTTGGGGTCTGCCCTGCCTCAGAGAAAAAGGCCAGCCCTCAGCTACATTTAGGGTGACCAGACAGCAAGTGTGAAAAATCGAGACGGGGCTGGGGATTAAGAGCCTATATAAGAAAAAGACCCAAAAATCAGGACTGTCCCTATAAAATTGGGACATCTGGTTACCCTAGCTAAATTCCCCTGTTGGTCAGCTAGTAGTTGGGCAATGGGCACCAATTGATCTATTTTCCTTTGTCCCAAATCCATAGTATTTATGGACAAGGGAGGGACGGGTGCAAAGAGACTGGTTGCCAGGGCCTCCCATTTGGTGTTGTCTGCCATGGCCTGTGTAACATTCTCAATCTACACATGTGGCCATAGGGCCTGGGTCCCAACCGGAGTCAGAGAGGTGAGGATCACAAAGAATCCATCCGGGCTCCCCTGGCATGGTGCTGTCCCCACAGAAAGGTGGTGGTATCCCAGAGCACATGCTATGTCCCCAAGCTGTATCCCCTCCTTCACTCTCTCTTTAATGACTGGTCAGGCCTAGCCTCCCTCACTTGTGGTCAGGTTTATTTGT